AGCTTCTTTTTGAAGTTCTTAATTGGCTTCTTTATCTTGGATATTTTATTTTTATATGACCCTGTTTATCACATTCATAGCAAATAATTTGATTCTTCTTGAAGTTCTTTTTTGGCTCAAACTTCTTATTTTGGAAGAGCATTTGCCTCATCTTCCTAGTGATTAATGCTAGTTCTTTTCATTAATTTTCTCCTCATCATTAGAATCTTGTGAAGTTTCTTTTTAGTGTTATGTTTTTCTTATTTTTAGAACGTTCTTCCATTGCATCTAGTTGGAAAGTCATCTCATAAGCAATGAGATTTCCAAGAAGCTCATTAAGTAGCATTTTGTTTAGATTTTTGGCATCTTTGAGAGAAGCAACTTTCGAATATCGTTTGTGTAAGTTTTGCCAAGAGACTTCATTTATCCAATAATCTTGATGAATATCATTCATTTGATTGGTACGTGAAGAGCTCATATTAATATGTGAGTATCTCCATCTTATTTTCTTTGATTTGATAAGTGCCTCCATGAGTGACTATCAATGCATCTCATATATCCTTTGTAATGGTCTTCATCCGCATTTTGTTGCACTCACTTCTATTAAGAGCATAAATGAGATATTGAATTGCTTTGTTATTAAGAGTCATCATTTTCCTCTCATAGTCATTTCATTATCTTTGGCTTAGGAGCACACTAGCACCTTCAATAATTTTGGTATGTACAAATGAACCTTCATTAAATATATCTCATAACTTAACTCCTTCTCATCTAAGAAAGTAACAAATCCTATTTTCCCAATGTTGGTAGTCATCACCATTAAACAAAAAAAAAAAAAAAAAAAAAAAATTACAAAAAAAAAAAAAAAAAAAAAAGGGTCTAATGAGTTTTAAAAAAAAAAAAAAAAAAAAAAAAAAAGGGTCTAATGAGTTTCTTGTTTTTTTATTATAGGCTGTCATTGATTTTTGCGCCAAGATGGTTAATCTTCAAGTGAGGAGATAAGGCTCTAATACCACTTATTGTCCCTTATAAGCAACCCAAAATGAGGGGTGAATTTAGTTAATATCAAATTTGATGGATTCTTCACGATCATAAAATAAGTATTCCAAAATGAAAGAGAAAGGAAAAAGAGGAAAAGAAGAATACATCAATTTGTAGAGGTTCAGCCACTCACTACCCTTCTCTTCTCCAGAAAGCTCTCTTTGAGAGTTCTCTCCATTTAATATAGTCCCCTTCAAACTGAAAGACTATATCCTTTATAACAAACTCAGAAACCCAAAGTATTGTCACAATCATAAGAATAATATGACAAAAAATATTTATAAATTTTAGGGCTCTACCCAACCCAATTCTCATTAAAAAGCTATAAAGTTCACTCAAAAGTATATAGTCCTCTCTCAAATACTCAATCCTAACAAGAGAAGACTTAATATCACAACTAAAAATTCATACAAAAAAAGTTTGCTTGCACTTATAAGCTCTTAAGAATAAAAATATAACTCAAAATATTGTGGCACATTTTTATTATAGTTTTTGGTTCACTTTTCTTGTGTTTTGGAAGTCCCAAATGATCTTTTTTTTTTAAACTACTGGTATCCAAACCCTATTATCAAGGACTGTCTAATCCAACTCGGGGCTTCCCAAATGCTTTTATTTATTGTCAAAGAAGAGAGCTAGCCAATATGGAAATATAACTCATAATTTTTTATGCATTGTAACAAATATATACTTATAGAAATGTAAATATGTCCCAATATTTGAAAGTGTTTTGTTTTTGATGTAAAAATAGTCGTGGATAGCCTGAGGTGCCCGAAGAGCTAATGGTATGTGTCTGTAATAAACTATGGTTAGCCGATGGTACCCAATGAGCTAGTCAAATGACTGTGGTTAGCCACGGCTAATCTATGGTGGTTGATGAGCTACTGGCTGTGTCTAACACATGTAGGACACCTAGAAAACAAGTGAAAAGTTTTTGGCATTAGGGTGCTTTAAGCAATACAATTCCATTATTGTATGCTCTAAACATGTTTGAAGAATGCACCACTTTAAATTTCTCGCGTAGATGCCATTTTATGTAACTAATTCCACTACTTCGAATAAAATAACATAATATCTACTAATTTATATTTTAACTCAATTTAAAATTTGAAGTTTAAAATTTATCATATTATTCAATACGCAATGTAAAATTATGTATATAGATTGTTACAATAAAAATTTAAGGGTTTACAAAAAAAAAATTAAAAAAAAAAAAAAAGAGAGAGAGAGAGAGAGAGACAGAGAAAGAAATAAAGGATGGAAGAAAAGATACACTCAATCAAACTAGAAAATCAATCTATAAAAGATTAATACTAATTATTAAAGAAGAAATATAGGTAGGCATGGCTATCAATTTGGTTTGAACCAAAATTAAATCAGAATCAAAATTATCGGTTCAAAATTTTGACCAAATTGATGGTTCATAGGCCGATTAAGGTTCACATTAATATTAAATTCTTTCTCCCCAAAGGTCGAGAAAAAGTTGTAAAACAAGAGTAAACGGAACCCGAAAAGGTGATTACATATGACGGCACCAGTGATAAATGGCCTAAAAAGTGGCTTGTGATTGATTCTCACAAGCAGGCTATGAATTTGAATCGACCTGGAGCTAGCGATTCAAGTCCGAACCAAAATACTATTTTTATTTGAAGAAATTTATAATAAGTTAATCTCTTCTATGCCCCATTAAAGTCTAAATAAGCTGATTTCTCATACACTTGACTTAAAAAGCTAAAAGTGTAAAAAAATAAAAATAGAAAAAAGAAATACAATACTTAATATAAAATTATATCGTTTGATATAAATGGGAGTTCAACAATGTTTTTTTTTTCTTTTTAAAATTCTTTTACCAGTCCAAAATTATATTGTTTGAAACATTTTTTTCATTTCAAATTTTCCTAATAATTTATTGAATTAATAATATTTAGATAAAATAAATCAAATTTGTTTGATTATTTTTAATTATTTATAAAGTTAATGATTTTTATTTCTTATATGTATGGACATTTTAAAAATTATTTAAAATAAAATTTATTAATATTCTTTTCAAATTTACTTTTTTTCCAAAAAAAAATTGTGTAACTCTAGAACCAATTTTCTTTTTTTTAGAAAAATAATGCATATATTGCAGAAACTATGTCAGAATTATAAATTGAACTGTTGGTTCATCGAAACGGAACCAACATCTGAACTGGTTAGAAATGACAGTTCAAAAACTTATTCAAATTTGGCATTTTGAAAATTTTTAACCAACGATTCTATAAATTGAAATAAGTGGCTCAATGACGAAAATGTCTAAACATATATATGTATTAAGCCCTGAAAAAGCATATAATCATTTTGTTTTCATAATCTCCTTTCTTTTCTTTTCTTTTTTCTTTTAAGAATTTGTTTCCATAATTTTCTTGGAAAGGGAAATTATCCAACAAACTTTCTTGCTAAGTTAGTTGCTCCTTGAACAAGCGGATCTGGTATTCAACTAACTGTTAGACACCTGAGGTTTAATTGAGTTTGTAGTCCTTTTTCCTTTTCTGCTTTATCTAAAAAACCACAATCATTTAACTTTGTATTAGTACTTAACGGTTGTTTTTTTTTTTTTTCCGTTTTAAATTTAATTGATCTAATCACTCAAAGAACCCAAATTCTTTCTAACAATTACAATTATATCAAACCTCTAAAAATAAATTATTTTATCTAATTTCAAAAATTAGTTACAATTATATACATTAGGTCATAATCACATTCATTACTTTTACAGTCAAAATTATCTCTCATTTTGAGAAAAAATGGTACTATTAATTAATTTGTTACAATTTTATATTTATTTCTAATAAATATAATAATGATTTTCTACAATTTTATGAAATCTAACTTATCACCTCCTTTTCTCTCTCTTAATTTTACCTGAGAGAATCACTGACTATGAAGTAATTATCTAAGGCAAATGGTAATTTAATAATTATTTTCTTAATCACGTGTAAAAACTTTAAAGCACTTGATAATTAATGAAGAAAGATTTATTATAACCAGCAAACTTAATATTCCATCTCAAAATATAAATCGTTTTTAGAAAATTATTTTGTTCAAAAATATAAATCGTTTTGAATATTTAAAGAGTAGTATATGATTTTTTTTTTCAAACGTTACCTTTATTTACATTAGATATAATTTAAACGACTTATATTTTGGGAGATAACAATTAGCACAAACAAAACAATACTTCCTCCATTCCTAAATATTTGCCACGTTTCAGAAAGTACTATGTTTTTAAATACTTGTCACATTTAAAAAAATACTATGTTTCTAATACTTGTCATGTTTATGGATTTAATAAATAATAAATTATTTTTTTCAAGTTTACCTTTTATATATCATCAACGGTAAATGGTCTCAAATAAATCACACAAATATGTATTTGACTCTCACACAACTATCAATTTAAATCTTTCCTCCCCTTCAAAAAAATTTTTAAAAAAAAAAAAGGTACTAACATTTTACTGCAATTAAGGTTGCAATGTAAATGTAAAAAAGGAAATCAAGGTATTGAAATGGAGGAAGAAAATACATTCCATCAAAATCTATATATGTAGCAGGAGCACTCTGCAGCAGCTTGCCCAATATAGAGTCAAATCTCCAAATTTGCAGGAAAAAATTTCCATAATTAAATCCTTATAAACAAACACCTCTAAATTACAAATATACATACAACTATACATATATAACGCAGATGGTGCCAAAAAAAAAAAAAAAAAAAAAAAAAATGGTGCCGAAAAAACAAAAAAAAAAAAAAAAAAAATTCAGAATGCACTCATCTAGCTCCAGCTCTGTCCCTCGTTACGCCTGATCAGTCATCACGAGCGGCAGCAAAAGCAAAAAAAAAAAAAAAAAAAAAAAAATTCAGATGCACTCATTAGCTCAGCTCTGTCTCGTACGCCTGATCAGTCATCACGAGCGGCAGCAAAAGCATGAAAACTCTCTACTAATAAGTTTAATTTCAATTTTGATTTTAGCTTTAATAATTATTTTATATATATGTATATAGATATAGATATAGATTTATAGCTAATTAACAGGAAGATGAAGTGGAGAGAGTAGTGGCAGATGATGTTCTAGGAGAAGGTGATCCTTGCTTTAATACCACAGTTGGTAATATGCTTGTTTTTCTCCTTTCTTGTTCTTTAATTAGCTCTCCACCAAATGACTCTAACTTGTCTAAATTTGTACTTTCAGCTATCTTCTTTCCTTTAAATAATACAGACTCTACGTTTTTCTGTTCCAACATTTCTTCTGTCATCGCCAATATGTTTGTTCTCTTCTCCGACTTTATTTGCTTCTTTCCTATTATGCCATTTGCCTGAAATTTTCACATCATTCAAAACAAATTAATCACCATTTCTTTTTTAATTAAAATATATTTTCCTCTTATTTTATAATTTTTCTATTGTATGAAAACAAAATATAAATATAAATAAAGGGTAATAGTTGGGAAATGATTACCTGAATGCGAACATAATTGCTTGTCCGACACTGACCAAACGCCATAGATACAGCTTGATCAACCTAATTAATTAAAAGGTCGAATTAGCATACCTACTCGACCAATAAAGGATAATAATAAAAATAAAATGCCACACACACAATAATGCCCATTATTTCGAAATAAAATAATAATGTCCGTTGTGGAGCAAAAGACAGCGGCCCACCAAAATATACTAAATAATTACACAAAGGACAACGCTACGTCCAGTCCACAAAAAAATAATAAATAATAAATAAATAAATAAAGAAAAAGTTCCCATGACTTCAAACTGTAATTCGGAATTGTCATTAGTAAATTTAAACTAATTTAAGTTTAATCGAATTAGATTCACTCTAAAATAATAATATATTGATCGAACCAATTCAATTTTTTTAATTTTAGCTTTTCTTTTCATTAAATCAATTAATTTTTAAAATTTTCAAAGAATTACATGGAATTTAATCAATCAATTGGTCAATTCTATCAAGTAAATTAAATTTCTTTTCCAAATTTATAAAATTATGTAATGTAATCATTCTTCTTAATTTTTTTTAATATTATTTTTATTTATATTGCATTCCTCAATCCAATTCAATAATCTAGTTAAAGAAAGTAAAGGTTAAAACGCATCGTACCATATCGGAAGCTCCTTCTCCAGCGACTCTTACGAATCTCGCCGGTGTTGAATTCAGATTTTCAAGACCTAAATCCGACTCTCCACCGCCGAGGGACATCACCAGTAGATCCTCCACTCCTTTGCACAGAGGAAACTCCTGCTTATTATTCAACACGTGTGTAATAGCTGCTGCCGTCGGATTGTTCATCGCGATCCCGCCATCAACAGCCACGATCTTTGTCTTTTTATCAACTGACCTCATTTCCACAGCGCCATTCACCATCGGATCAACTGATGTGGCCAGGCACACATCGCTTATCTTGAAATCATAGCCGTCCATTTCCAAAGCGTCCGCACGGGAGAAAAGGAACGGTGCACGGGTAGAGAGATCGTAGCACGGAATCAAAACCGACTTAAGCGTGTCTTTTAAAGTGCATTCACCGAAAGTTGCGCGAAACAGCTTCTCAACCTTCGCCTGCCGGAAAATTCGCCGGATAATCCCTCGAGGCGACTGATTAAGCTTCCTACGATTCTCGATCAGAAAACGAAGAGCTCCATCGGCGGTTAACATAGGACGGCCATCTTTTCCCCGAGTGAAAAGGAGAGCGGCTAAGATGCCTCCACTACCTGAGCCAGCAACAACATCGAAGTAATCCGCGATCGAGGCGTTAGGATTGCCAGATTTACGTTGGAGGCAATACTCGAGATAAGAGAGGGACTTGGCGGCAAGAATGCCGTCAGTGGCGCCACCACCGTCGATAGAGAGGATTCTGACTTTACTTTCAGTGACATTCTTAGTAAGTATTTGTTGATTATTTTGAGGGAGAGAAAGCTTAGGATTTTCACATCCTCCAAAAAGGAATTTGTTTTCCAGGATGGAGAAGATTTCGAAAGTGAGTTTGTCTACGTCGAAGGTTGAGTCAAGCATGTCAGATTTTGTGGTAGCTACGGCCATTGACGTGCTTTTTAAGCTTTTTATTGTTTATTTTAGTTCAGTGATTGCAGTTTTAGAGAGAGAGAGAGAGAGAGAGAGAGGAAGAGAAGTTGGGGATGAAGAAGATGGAGAGGCGTTGAGGAGGCTTATATAGTGTGAATTTGAGCTCAAGTGATGTGGCCATCGAGGAACATTCCTTGGTAGGCGATTAATCGGCACGCGAGCTTTTTTTTTTTTTTTTAATTGTAGGCCATCGAGGAAAATTCCCTTGGTAGGCGATTAATCGGCACGCGAGCTTTTTTTTGTTTTTTTTTTAATTGGGCGGGAATAGACATCATGAGTTTAGGTTTGTTCCGCTTTAGTACTTTTTGTTTAATCGAGGAAAATATAAACATATCAAATTAACATAAATACCACACTTAGAATAAGAAATAAAACAGAAGGAATACCAACCTCACTCCCTCAAAATTAGAAAGCAAAAAAAAGAAATTTTTTTTTTTTTTTTAATTGGGCGGGATAACATCATGAGTTAGTTGTTCCGCTTTAGTACTTTTGTTTAATCGAGGAAATATAAACATATCAAATTAACATAAATCACCACACTTAGAATAAGAAATAAAACTAGAAGGAATACAACCTCACTCCTCAAAATTAGAGCAAAAAAAGAGTAAGTATGAGTTACCAAAAAAATTTTTCGCATATACCAAAAAAGAAATATAGGGCACACTTTATTTTATTACCCACCGTTCCAAAATACAAGTTGTTTAAAGTTTTTATATGAGTATTAAAAAAATAATTAATTTGATTAAATTATCTTTTATCTCAAAAATAATAATTACTTGTGAAGTATTTATTGTATTTAGTGTAAACAATGACAACATTAGAAAAATAGTATTTATTAATTCTTGAAATATACAAAATGACTTATATTTTAGAATAAAATAACAAATCAAAAAGTATTTATATTTTGGAACAGAAAGAGTAATTAATAGTTAACTAATTGAGATTCAAGCACACCTAGTTTGATATATGGTAGGACACACCAATTTAATATGCATCTCTATTGAAAAAAATATTATATATGTTACATTAATTTTTACATTTTTAACATTTAATAAATAATAAGAAAATGATTAAATAAAATAATTAATATTATCTTAAAGAAAATAATTGAAAGAAAAAATAAAAATAACTAACTAAATTATCTTGTACTTAATTCTTTATAATTAAGAGATATAAGATCGATGAAAATAGATAGACAAGAGTAAAATTTAAATACAATAATTAATATTACATTGATATTTCTAATAATATCATTGAAGTTGGAAAATAAAAATAAAAATCAAAAACGTCAAAATTATCGGGACGGAGTACTATCTCTATTTTATTAAATTTGACACTTTTGAATTTTCATAATAATTAAAAAATAGTTTAAACCACATAAATTCTAAAAAAGAAAAGTAAAAGATGATTGACTAAATTAACCTTTTATTAATTATTTGTAATTAAGAGAAATATTTAGGCAAGGGAAAAAATGTCTAAGGAAATGGGAGTTCATTAAATCTTAATATAAATAAAATAATTATTATTAATTACCTCTTATATTTTCATAACTTTGAAATGTGAATCACTTAAAAAAAAGGATGGAATGTATTTTTTATTCAATTTAAAATTACAATTATCTTCATATAAATATATCAATAATAAATTAATCACAATATAAGTTATAATTCAATAGCTAAATATCTATTTTTATAACAGCAGCTATTTATTAGAAAAAAAAAAATACTAAACAGAAAGTATTATTTAATCATTTTAATTAGTCTTTTAATGTATGTATGGATGAAAGAAATATGTTAAAGTGCATTTAAGAAATTTAGCTTGCGATTATATTATATCTTGGAAGATGCTAAATTTAATAAAAGCGATATAGTAAATATTAGGATAAAATTATATTTTAATTATTTGTTAGCTAAGGGGTTTCTTTCAAAAATTACATTTTTAATGTCCTTTTTAATATCAACATATGAGATAGAATTGCACAGAAAGAACCCAAATTCTAATATTATCATTCTTAATTTCTTATTATTTTTTTTAGAATTACTTTCTTATTATTAACAATTGACAACTTGATAATGATTATAATGATGGTTCAATTTATTTTTTAAAGGTTTATAGTATTATTTTCATATCAACTATTGTATAGTTAAGTCAGACAAGCTATTTAATTTAATTGAAAAAACATGAAAGCAAGAAAAGATGTTACTCCATAAAAGGAAAAGTTACAAAAAGATCAAAATGCAAAATTTGAATAAATTAAAGTGGAGAAAGGTGGGATTGAAGGATTTTGCCCCCATTATTTTTTAAATAATTAAAATTATTTGATTTTTTATGGTGGGAAAATAAATGGGCAAATTTATAAATTTATTCTAATACTTTTCGCCATCAATATTTTTATATATAACGTCAAAAACATAAAAATTATTGTTACTAGTAATATATATGCAATATTACTAAATTTATGGACTCAATAGATCACCCTAACAATTACGGTGTTATAAGATATTTTTTTTTAATGCTAGGAGAGAAGATTTAAATTTAAATCTATTGCCTGATTGTACATATATTTACCACTATACTATAAGTTGGTATGCATTATAAAATCCATTGTTTAGGTTGAAAGCAAATCTTGAGAAGCTATTTGAAAATTGAAATAATAATTTTATAATGAAATATTATTATAAGGCAAATGGTAAACATCGAACGTTTACTATAAAGCATTTGAGTTTAGTGGCATCTCTTTCAAACGTATCATTTTCGCGGGTAAATTCATGTTTTTACATTAAAAAGGAGATTCTAGGCTTTTGTGTCTTTGGTTTTTGGTTAAGTGGCGGGAGACTGTCAGAATATTTATGGAAAAATGAAATTCATATATAGATGGATAAAGACAGTTTAAAAAACAATAATCAGAATAAGTTCGATTATTTTCATATTCTATTTTTTTTTTTCAAATCCATAATTTGTTGATTATAAAACATTAAGGTAAATTATTGTAAGTTAATTTTTAATTAATTAACAAATTATAAAACATTCGGTTTTTAAAAAGAAATATAAAATTCAAGCTGCAATATTAATTAACAATAATAATTTTTAATCCTTAATTAATTCACAAAAAATATTTTTTTGTTAAGAGTATAGTGAAATAAAAATTGAATAGAATTATAATTTAAATTGGTTATGTTACATTTTGTTACATTATAAATGTTCTAAAATTGCAAATTGCTTAATTCTTATTTTGAAATATAATATTAATTTCATTGGAAAATTCTAAGTTAATTAGTTGTTCTTCAATTGAGACCTCAGACCTTACAAGATGTTAATAAAAATAAAAAACAACTACAGAAAAGGGATTGCAATTACACCTAAAACGCTCAATTGGTCATAATTGTAATTACCCGGACCCCTACAAGGATAATACTCCTCTTTGGGCAAATTATCCGGTATTAACTGATACTGATAACTAATAGCTGATTGTTAATAAATGTTAATTGTTGGTAAAATCTTTATGGCCGTTACTGTTGAAATCTAAAATGACAGTTAAGAATATAATTATTTTCACAAAATATTATATATCATATATATTTTTATTTTCATGTGTTATATAAATGAAAATATATTAATTAAATTTTATTATAAATAATATTTAATAGTTATTTATCATTTTAATAGTACAAAAATAAATTAAAGTTTAAAAAAGTTTTAATATCATTTTCATAAATATAATATTATCAAAATATAATATAAATACAAAGCGGACACCGATTCAGTTGATATGAAAAAGTTTCAAAATATAATTGATGGAATCAATATTTGGAGTTTATTTTGCCATATTTGCAGTTCTAGTAGTTGATGTTGTTATTGTTATCTGCTAGCTTGTTAGCTATTTATTTAGAAGTGCTTGGTAAAAATAGTTGTTTAACTTTAAAAATGACAAAGTAGAATTCAGTAAAAAAACAATGGGTATATTTATAAAAAAAAATTAATTAAACTCTATAAAATGTTAAAATTAGAGTATTTAAGATTTTATAAAAAGCTCCTTAAATCTCTAAAACCTATTATAATACATATATTACCGAATGGTACAATTGATAAAGAGAGAGTTTTGACTTGGTCAAAATGAGCATTAATCAGTTAAAATAAACATATAAGTTAATGTTATCTATCTAATGTTTACTCCTTCTAAATATTTTATCTTTTCAATTAACATAAGAGCTTATTTTATGTATAAATTTATTCATGAAAAAAATATTAATTTTATGATTTTGACATTTATAGTTAGAAGTATTTTTTTCATCAATTTACGCATAATAATTGATTTATTTTCTTATTAAATGTTTTCAAAAATATATTGGTTTTATCATTTTCATTTAGTAATTATACCTAAAGATTATTTAAAAAAAAATTATGAACTTTAATTGAACATATCCAGAAAGAAACAACAAAAGAAAAATGTGCAGACCAAATATAAAAAGCTGGCGCTATGACTCGTGAGGGTCAGGGAGAAATCCGGAGTAGGGCCTTACGAGATGTGGTGGTTGCTGGTACCCAAAATAGGCTTTACTTTCGGATTCTTTTCAATTATTTTTTCTCAGCTCGTTTCCACGCCATACAGTACGGTTGTACCGACATTTTTTTTGCGCCAAATATCTTTTCTTTTCTTTTTTTTTTCTTTTAATTATCGTTCGCTCTTCTACTTTTTATCTCTCTAATTCTATCCATCCAAATGTTTATTAGGCTTTTCTTTTTTTCTTCTTAAGGATCTAAGATTTTTGAATTTCACTTGGACTAAACACATAAATTAAAAGTAAACTTTCTAAGAAAAAATATGAAATATCTAATTTTTACGGTAATTTATTAAATATTTCAACTCGTAGGATTATATTTTATCTATAAGAGTGGTCAAAATCTGAAATTAGTGTTTTTATTCATCATACCATTGATTCTGATCCTCCAAAATCAGAAACTAATATTAGCCTAGACTCAAATAACTTAATTCCAATCATTTTCGGCACAAACCTTTTGTCTTTCCTCGGTCGAAATGCTTTAAATCAGCTGATCTCAACTGGATATAGTCTCTATTTTTTGAGCTAATTTTAGTTTAGACTAGTCCTGTAGTCATGCCTATCTGTTGAAACACTTTCGTAATTTATATAATTACAGTTACCGAATATTTAAACTTATAAATAGTTCTTATTAAATATTTATCAAATAATTTAAAAATATGAAAATGATTAGCGAATTAACCACGAGATTTATTATATTTTTTGCATATCCTTGTATCAAAGGATTCATACAGTATTACACTTATTAAGTAATTAAAAATTGCTAAAATTATTATTGATTTGATTATTTGAATTATTCAATAGATATTATTTTAATTGTTGAAGGGTTAATTGATCAACCTAAAATTTTAAGAATGACCCTTAATCTTTGTTGTAAACTTTCAAGTATCGATTTATATATTAATCCATGGAAACTGATACCCAAAATACATTTACAAGATAGAAAAAAAAAAAAAACATTTACAAAGTAAAAATACATAAATATAAGTAAACTTTCTTAACTTTGTTCCAAATGTAAATTCAAGACCAAGCGGACGGAGAAATTAATGAAAGTTAAAGGTTTTTTTTTGACAGCAAAGGTTTATATCCTAACAATTTCTCTCTTTTTTTTTCTTTTTCTTTTTTTTTTAATAAAAAACAACTACCAGTATCTCTGGTACTAAATACTCATCACATTTAAAATTTTAGGTCTTTTAAGAAAACTATTAAATTTGTCTAAGTTACAATAAATTATTGAATAAATTGATTATATTACCTTTAATTTAATATATTCAAGCACTGCGCCTTTGAGAAATTGAAACAATAATTATTGGTCATATAAAAAGGGTAAACATAGAAAAAAGAAATTTTTTATTCATTAAAATCACAAATGTGATAAATATTTTGAAATATAATAATTTTTTAACTGTGACAAATATTTAGAAACGAGTTACTTGTAATTAGTAAATTTTTTATTTTTATTTTTTTAAAATGTCAATTTTGGATTTAAAGTAACCTCAAAGCACTAAACTAAATCAATTAAAGTACATGAAGTGGTGAAACCAAACAAGTGTAGGAATGGGCAGGCCAAGTGCCATAAATGAGCATAGATCTTTTGAGATTACACAACACGCATAAACACACACACCCAAGTCCATTAAATGTAGATATTAGTTTTGATGTTGTCAATTACAGTTGTCCCATGCATCCGTACCATTCCACACATTTGCCAACCTGTTATATTGCCCCCTTACTCCTATTTATGTCTCGTCTTAACTCTGCAACCACTGAATCGTACATTTCATGCACTACGGATTTTTTTGTGCACGTACATTGCACCTTCTGTTTTTTTATATATACATTTTTTTTAATTACAAGGTCTTCTATTTACTAGGGATTGTCAAAAGACATTTCGGACAGCTTTAGATCAAAATTAATACACGTTCAGAAAAAAGGAATAAATATTTATTCGATATAAGAATATTATTGATGTTTAATGCGCAATATTTAAGATTTCTTTGATTATTTAAATCAAGTTATGTCACTCCAACAAAAAAGAATGTATCATATAAATAGTTTGTTCTATCAAGGCAGATGGGTATATGAGGTGGGAGAAGTTAGGAAACCAGTTTTTCAATTTTTTTCAAACATGTACAAAGCTAATTCAGAACCAAGACCTACTCTTCGGTATGAAGTGTTTAGAAAATTATCAAAAGAAGAAAGGTGTGACCTTGAAGCTCCATTCTCAAAAGAAGAAATAAAAGAAGCTGTTTGAAGTTATGGTTCATCTAAAGCACCTAGGCCCGATGAGTATGATAGAGTTTATACTATTAATTATGCTTTTTGTAATAGTATAACTATTTGATATATTGTTGAAACTGAGATTTACATTTAATGAATCATTTATGGTATATTTATAATTATTGTCTTTTATCTTATACTACTGGATGATTTGACGTATAGAGTTTATTCTATACATAGAATACCAAATCATTTTGTTCATATGAGATATAAAGTTTGTTCACAATGTAAGATGAAGCAGACAAACCATTGGTCTGATTGTAGCACATGATTATATGTAATTTATCTTGATTTTGAGAATGATTAAATTACAACTTCTTATGCTGGTGCATATTATATGTATTGAACGTGGACCAAGTTAAGAATAAGTGTTTTTATACTGACTAAATAAAACAGATTCTCTAGCTCATTAATAGATATATATTAATTACTCTTAATCTTGATTTAATTGTTATAAGAAATGTATGTTATCTATTATTTTGATTCATTAAAAAGGTGAGTTTCATTATGGAACAAGAAACTCAGTAAAGTTGAACGATAACGATGTGGGTTAGTGAAATATCAATTTATTGATAGAATCCGTGTCTCAGTATAGGGATTGATAATCCCCCTTAAGAAGCTTATAAGTTTTCATTGCATAAAATTCTACAAGTGGATTTTTTATCCGATACATAAAATAAGTTAAGTGAAATTCTTGAGAAATTAAATTGTAAATTAAATAAAATAGTCGGTAATTTAATTTAATTGACATATATCTATAATTTTAACATAGGGAGTTTGTATATTTTAATGTTAGGAGATTCAAAATTAATAAGGAGTTCAATTATGAATTTTTAGTAGAATAATTCATTATTTATTATAAAAATATTCTACAGGTTGTATACATATATTATTATTATTATAAGTCAGCGTTATTAATTTTATTCATATGGGTCTCTATTGTGCCTATGTTATTTAGAGCTAATTAAGAGGTTAATTAAATATAATGTTAATATTGCAAAATGAGTATATATATATATATATAAATTAGTTTTATTAATGTTATTTTTAATTGGAAAAATATATAAGAGATGCTTAGGCTAAACCTAGACGCTAGTCTCTCATATTTCGTTTTCCCCTCTCAAGAGCCGTCTACCCCCACAACAGTTCTAAAAAAAATATCCTAGGACATACAACAGAAGACTGTAGAGAAAATCAATGTGGTTTTGGTAGAACAGAAGCTGTTGGTGCAGGAGCTATTAGGTGAAAGTATAATCAAAATCAGTGTTTAAAAGGTATTTATGATTCCATAACTTCAATTTATATCTTCTATACCTCTTTACATTGCTTGTATGTTATGCATATGCGATCTTGTGGCTTCCATTGTATGATTTTTCCATCAAGGTATACAATATAATTTTATAAGTACTGTTGGGATACATTTAAAGGAGATTTAGTCAGATTTTGTCAAGATTTTTTCAAGATTTTATAATATTGATCCAAAAATCTCATCCCCGCAAGGCCTTAATGATTATAGGCTAACATCTCTTATTGGTAGTGTGTATAAAGTGGTTTCAAAATTATTATCCATGCAGTTAATAATTAGGGAAAATCAAATAGTTTTTCATAGGCTCATTAAATAATGGATGAAATCTTAATTTGCAACGAATTATTTCATGACCAGGAATGAAGGAAAAGCAAATATGTGTTGTTGAAGCCCGATTTCCAGGCATATGATTCGATCAATTACAACTTCTTGCAAAACATGATGACAAAAATGGGGTTTGGTGAAGAGTGGAGGGGATGGATCAAGGAGTGTTTAGCTATTTCTGGATTATCAATTTTGTAACACCCTTTGCTTGAACTATGAATGGACCACCTGGTTCATGGGTAGTCCATGCAAGAAACGTTACACGCGGTGGTAAAGCACTATGCTTAAATTCATTATGAATACTTCAATCATATGACATTACTAAACTAAACATGCATAATTCTAAACTTAAGTTCCTATATAGAAAAATTGTAAGAGTTTTCCCTTCTTTATTAACATTTCAAAATTTCAAACTTGCTAAAAACACTTGATCCAAGTATGTATATATATAAATATATCATTCGATTCAATTATGTTATATGTCATAGTAACATTTATTATTTTTATAATATGTTTAGCCCAATAAACTCTAGTAGGACTGAAAGCCATAAAAGGGAACTGTATCGGTAGGACACCGAGTGTTGAAAACTGGCTCGAAAGCCATATGGTAATAGTAATAGCACAGTACGACTCGTCAGTCAGAAATAGTAGTGCACCAAGCACTATGATATCTCAATATAAACCAGAAATCCAGTAAGATTGCAGTACTACTAGATAATATACTAGGCACACCACAACCTTATTCAATCCAACTTCCACTAAGCTTATAAGTAGAACTAGCATGATTCTTAGACTAAGATTGTATAAATTCTTGCCAAGACACATAATCTTAGCCTTATGCTTAAATTAAATAAGATTTCCACATCCACATATCTAAATCATACATTCAATTTGTTTGATAACTCTAGCATTCATGCATAATACTTTACTAGGCATGTTTGTTCTTGAGCTCAATAATAAGCCTAGTTACAAGTATTCTCAAAGGCAACATGTATAGATATGAAACAAAAGTTCTATCTCAAGTTCCAGGCTATTTCAAAGAATCATTAAACATGTAGCATCAAGTTCTTTCAAAATAGAGTAGAGAGATTCGTTAGGGTTTTAAGGAAAGCTTATGTGAAACCAAATCTCTTTGAGCATCAACATAACATTTCAAACAACAACTTAGGTCACAAACTCATAAGATTAGGTTGAATTAAAAGTCATGTTTCTTAAGCGATTTAAACTCTTTTTCAAGAGGTTTTAAGAATTACATCAAAGATCCATTAGGTATACATCTTGGAGGTGTAGGAATCATTTAGAAGGCAAAAACATAAAGATTCATGGCAAGGGACATATTATTATGCAGCCAACTCGTGTTTCCTGACATGGCCGTATCAGTCAAGCTTCTCCAACCTTGAAACTCAGCAAGTTACATAGCAAGCCCGTTAACCTGGGTTTCTTGGTTACGAATTTTTCGTAACTTTTTAAACTTTAAACACACCAACAAGCTAATCAATCACAAGTTCATGAATTAATGTCTAAATCTTACTATTTACATGTTAAAAAGAAGCAAAATCATCCAAGAAATAATAGAAATTAGAATTCAAACTTCAAATCCATGAGTTCATTAACAACGTTAGCAAAATCAATATGAAGTTAGGTTTTCATACATATGCTGTAAGATTTTGCCATGACTTTCAAACCTAGTCAAGGCTAAAATCATATGGCTCGATTTAAAGATAAATTGATTAGTAAATTAATTTATTAATTAAGATAATATTATGTTAAAATCATGACCATTGGTTTGGTTATTTGATGGACGTACCGGATCTAAGGTTGAGTTAATATAAATTAGTCTTCCTTCTGCCTATTAGGTTTACACAAAAAATAAGCCGTCAAAAGAATAGAAAAGAAAGATAACAAATAGAGAATAGAGAATTTTTTTTGACGTACTTTCCATCATTTAAGTTTGTGTATAGAAACAAGGTCAAGAGGGAGAAATCAATTTACTGGGTACATTTATTTTCTGCTCTTCAATGGCCAATTTCAATTCCGCATCAGGTTTGTTATTTTATTACTGTAAAATCATGTTAGTTTAAAGATCCCACACAATATGTTATGCAATTCAATTCGGCCTTGCTCCAATCATCCACGCATGAAATCAATTTACTCGGTACATTTATTTCTGCTCTTCAAGGCCAATTTTCAATTCCGCATCAGGTTTTATTTTATTACTGTAAAATCATGTTAGTTTAAAGATCCCACACAATATGTTATGCAATTCAATTCGGCCTTGCTCCAATCATCCACGCATGATTGTGCTTCTAGTGAATCGGGTATCATACGAGATCATGTTTCATCAACTATGTTTCCTCATTGACTAAAAGCTTGTTCAATCGCAACGGTGGAGACCAGAGTTGCTAAAACTTATTTTGCAATTAGTGAAAGGTTGAGAATGTATTGGCGTGATGACTCCACCAATCTAGAATTGGAAATTTATTATCTGCAAAACTAGCACCAAACTCGAAAGAAGTGGTAAGATAATTATCAAATTCGGAAAAGAACCGGATTCCCTAGGTCTTTTTTGTCTTTGTAGTAATATACGTTCAGCAACACCAACACTTACCCTTTCAGTTAGGAATAATTGATTATTAAATTGAGAAGAATTAGAGAAGTAGATGTACTAGAATATTCAACATATTCAGTATATAATTCTATAATATTTTGTCTAACTTTATGCAATATTACATTTATATTAACACTATCTTCTATATCAAGATTTAATATTTCATAATAAAGAGTCAAATATTCAGATAAAATTTCAAATTTACATAGAGTCAAATATTCAGATAAAATTTCAAATTTACATCTAGGATCAAATACACAAGCAACAAGAAAGATGGGCAGTATATTTTCAAAATAAGATAACCATTTTTTTTCATCGATAAAACACAATTTTGTAATAAAATATCATTTTCAAATTCTTGAAGTACACTAACAATATTATTGCATATAGTAAAAAATAAATGAGATGTGGGATAATAAACCCCACTAAATTTATATGTAGCATCATTAAAAATTTTTAAAACATCCAAAATTTTTGCACAAATATCCCAATTTTGTGGATGTAAATTAATTTCTTCAATCTTTTTAGTAACAAAAATGCACAATAATTCTTTATATGAAAAAGACTCGTTTAATAATTCATATGTTGAATTCCAACGAGTTGAGACATCCCTTGAAAAAAGTTTTGGTCTTTTTTTTTATTTTCCTTACAAAATTAAGCCCAACTTTTCATCACTTGAGGATGTTCCCATAAATATGAAATAGCTTTTCTAATTGGAGAAATAAAAGATTCAAGAACTTTTAAACCATCTTGTATACATAAATTTAAGACATGGCATGCACATCTAATATGAAAAAAATTTTCCACCAATATTTGGTTCACAAATTGATTTAAGTTCAATAATTGATTTTTTAGTGTTGGCAAAAACATATCAAATGAAATTGAAAAAATTTTTTGGGTCAATTTATACTCATCTAATTGGAAACTTATTTCTATAAATATTTTTGCAGTTATGTTTAATGCACATCAAACAGCATGAAAAATGCAATAATTCCCTTTGTTTGAATTTTTCCAATAAATCAATCAAAATCCAATGGCAATATATACTTATATAAAAAAATGCATTTGCCAATGATTAATTCCAAATATCACAACAAATTGAAAACATGAATTTTCATTTTAGAAAATAAAAGTTGTAACTCTTTTTTTCCTTTGTTATATAAAAGAAATAATAGTTTGTTTTTATGATTTTCTTGGCACTCTTTTAGCAGAACGGATTTAAAGCTTTTTTGATAATTATTTGATTAAAACCTACCTTTTTCACCAAAACTAAAAGGATAAATATCCACATAGAAAAGATAAATATTCCATAGAAATCATTTTAGCTAATTCTTCTTTTTGTTATTTTTCAGAATATTGAAATAAAGAAATGTTAGAAGATGCATACCCAAAAATTTGTATTTGAGACCGATTAACTCCTATTTTTGTTGGATGTTTTTCTCCAAATGCTTACAAAATGATCTATACCCGCCCCCTTGTTTGAATTTATAAAATTTTCCATAATAATTGCAAATTACATCGAACATTTTGTCGCCTTTGAATTTCTTCGTGAAATGAATTACGAATATGTTGGAACTTTGTCTTACTCTTTGAATTCGAAAAACTTGTGTACCTTCCTCTTGCTCTTCCTCTTGTTGTAAATGCTCATCATTAAATTCAGATTCTTGAGTTGGAATTTCCAAATTTTCATTTGGATATCCCTCAAGATTATATTGGTCGGGATTATATTGGTCGGGAGTGGAAATCGAAGACGTGTTTGGTAGGGATAGAGATATTGGTTGGTTTCTCTAAATCTTCGCTTGCCCCTTAGCGGAACTTGAGTTTCCTCTTACTTGCTTATAAGAGGAAAAATCATATGTATTTGGAAAAGATGTGGAATAAAAAAAGTTAGATCGAGATAATTAGAGAATTGGAGATTTGAAAAAGAAATTAAAGTTCAAAATAATTTGGACAAATAATTGGAGATTGGACTTTGAAGAATTATCTTGCAATATTTTGATAATAATCTTTGAATGAAAATTAGAAGAGATTGTAGTAGTAGAAAAGAATAATATAGAAGTAGAGAGAGTAAAGAATAATTTTGTGTGAGGGGATTGTAAAATGGAATGAGGTATTTATAAAAATCCAAAAAAATCATTTTCTACAAATATCCCTGAAACTAGCCGTTATGTAGCCGATTTAATAGTTTGTTAGGAGGGCGTATTTGGGGATTTCACAAAAAAGTTTGATAAAAAAAAACAAAAAAGCTGCTAGAACTGGCATATGACTGCGGTTCCTAGGCCGTTTCAAAATAGAATTCTAATATTCTTATGAAATCGCATGGTTCGAAACTCAACATTGAAAATCTGCGATTCTAGACAGTTCCGGTTGTTCTGGGAACCGCTAGTTCACGGTTCCAAATGGGGATCAGAACCGAACGGGTAGGCTACTGGTTTCCCGATTCCTGAGATTTTCTGTGTGAGGGGATTGTAAATGGAATGAGGTATTTATAATAAATCCAAAAAATCATTTTTCTACAAATACCCTTGAAACTAGCCGTTATGTAGCCGATTATAGTTGTTAGGAGGGGTAATTTGGGGATTTCACAAAAAAGTTTGAAAAAAAAAAACAAAAAAGCTGCTAGAACTGGCTAGAACTGCCGGTTCTAGCCGTTTCAAATAGAATTCTAATATTCTTGGAATCGCTGGTTCGAACTCACTTGAAAAATCTGCGATTCTAGACAGTTCCGGTTGGTTCTTGGAACCGCTAGTTCACGGTTCCAAAAATGGTGGAATCAGAACCGAACGGTAGGCCACTGGTTCCGATTCTGGTTCGGACTGGTTCCGGTTCCCATCGGTTCTGAACTCCCGATTCTGATTCCGAGAACTGTAATTTGGCCATCGCTGCTTAGGGATGATGGTGGATGATTCCTTTTTGGTGCAATTTATTTTGAACTCACTACCTCCTAATTATGGGCCATTTCAAATTAGCTATAACACTATTAAGGATAAGTGGGATGTTAATGAATTGGCTAGTAAGCTTATACAGGAGGAAGCAAGATTGAAAAGTCAAGGAAATCATTCTATCAACCATTGGGTCATGGAGCTAGTAAAGGACTTAAAGCAAAATCCAACAAGTTTAAGAAGAAGAAAAATGCACCTATTAATGTTTCTAATGGTGAGAAAAAGGAACAAGCCGCAGTTAGATGTCATTTCTGTAAGAAGGAAGGACACTATCAGAAAGATTGCCTGAAGCGTAAAGCTTGGTTCGAAAGGAAAGGTAAGTCATATGTTTCTGTATCTTTCAAAACAAACTTAGTTGAAGTTCCCAATAATACATGGTGGTTTGATTTTGGTGCTACTACTCATGTGTCCAAAACGATATAGGGATTCCTTACGATCCAAACCACAAACCCAAATGAGGATTTCTTATATATGGGGAACTATGGGAAGGCTCCAATTAAAGGCATAGGAACTTATGGTTTAGTCTTGGAAACTGGTTATGATTTAGACTTATTTCAGACTCTCTATGTACCTTCAATTTCTAGAAACCTTATTTTTGTTTTAAAACTTGATGTTTCTGGTTTTGATGTTAAGTTTGGACATGGATGCTGCAGTTTATTTAAAAACATGAATGTTTTTGGTTCTGGATTTTTTACTCATGGTTTATATAAACTGAAACTTGACAATATTTTTGCTAAATCATTGATTGTTGAGTTTAGTAGTATTGAAATTAGGCGTAATGTGCTAAACAAAAATTCTGCTTGTTTGTGGCTTAAATATTTAGGTCATATATCCAAAGAAAGACTTGAAAGATTGGTAAAAAAATAAAATTTTACCAAATTTGGATTTTACTGATCGTGGTATATGTGTGGATTGCATTAAGGGAAAGCAAACCAAACATACTAAGAAAGGTGCCACAAGAAGTACCCAGCTTCTTAAAATAATACACACTGACATATGTGGACCTTTTCATATTCCATCTTTTAATAACGAGAGGTATTTCATCACCTTTATCGATGATTTCTCACGTTGTGGATATATCTATTTGCTTAATGAAAAATTTCAATCTGTGAATGCCCTTGAGGTGTACATCAATGAGGTTGAAAGGTAATTAGATAGAAAAGTGAAAATAGTAAGGTCAGATAGAGGTGGTGAATATGATGGAAAGCATAATGAATCGAGACAATGTCCTGGTACATTTGCAAAGTTCTTCAAAAGTTGTGACATATCTGCGCAATACACTATGCTGGCACACCTCAACAAAATGGTGTGGCAGAAAGGCGCAATCAAACCTTAATGGATATGGTTAGGAGTATGATGAGCAACTCCTCATTACCTAAGTCCTTGTGGATGTATGCACTTAAAACTGCCGTGTACCTATTGAATAGGGTTCTTAGTAAAGCAGTTTCGAAAACCCATTTCGATTTATGGATTAGAAGGAAACCTAGCTTTAGACATTTACATGTTTGGGGTTGCTAAGCAGAAGCAAGAATATATAATCCATATGAGAAGAAATTAGACGCTCCTACGATAAGTGGGTACTTCATTGGGTATCTAGAGAAATCTAAAGGATATAAGGTTTATGTTCCAAACCATAGTCCGAAGATTATAGAAACTAGTAATGCTAGATTCCTTGAAAATGGTGAAGTTAGTGGGAATGCTAAAAAATAAGTGGTGAATATTCAGTAAATTAAAGTAAATTTCTCTACTCTTATAAATATTTCTTTATCCACAACTACCATGAATGTTGTTCCAGCAATTAATGAAAATCCTAATAGTGTTGAACAACATTTGAATGAAACACTCCAAGAAGAAACTAATGCACCTTTAGAAACTAGCTTGCAAAGATCTGCTGAAGATGAAGTACAAACAATGCCATTAAGAAGATCTCAAAGAGAGAAAAGATCAACAATTTCCAATGATTATATGGTTTATCTACAGGAATCAGGTTTTGATATAACAATTAATAAGTATCCAGTTTCATTTTCACAAGCCATGAATATTAATGAGTTTGATAAATGGTCCAATGCCGTGAAAGATGAGATGCAATCCATGGAACAAAATAAAGTCCGGGATCTTGTCGAATTACCTAAGGAGTCAAAACAAATTGGATGTAAATGGGTATTTAAAACCAAATGAGACTCAAATGGTAATATTAAAAGATATAAAGCCAGACTTGTTGCCAAGGGATATACTCAAAAGGATGGTGTTCATTATAAAGAGACATTTTCACCAGTCTCTAAAAAAGACTCCTTAAGAATTACTATGGCATTGGTGGCTCGTTATGATTTGGAGCTACATCAAATGGATGTGAAAATAGTCTTTCTGAATGGAGATCTTAAGAAAGAAGTTTATATGGACCAACCTAAAGGTTTCTTGATTAAAGGAAAATGTCATATGGTGTGTAAACTTAAAAAGTTAATATATGGACTCAAGTAAGCTTCATGAAAATGGTACATCAAGTTTAAGGATACCATAAAGTCTTTTGGTTTTCAAGAATACACTGTTGATCGGTGTATTTACCAAAAGATCAGTGGGAGTAAGTTCATTTTCTTAGTTCTATATGTTGACGATATTTTACTTGCTGCAAATGATTTGAGTCTATTGCATGAGACCATAGTTTTTCTCTTTAAAAATTTTGAAATGAAAAATATGGGAGAGGCATCCTATGTGATAGGAATTGAGATATTCCGTGATAAATCACAAGGATTGTTAGGGTTATCTCAGAAAAACTATATTGAAAGAGCTCCTGAGAAATTTAATATGCATAATTGTTCAGCACGAATTGTTCCTATACAAAAAGGGAACAAATTTAGTCTTATGCAATGTCCAAAGAATGATGTAGAACAAAAAGGGATGAAAATAATTCCCTATGCTTCTGCTGTGGGCAGTTTAATGTATGCTCAGACCTGTACAAGACCCGACATTAGCTTTGCAGTTAGAATGCTTGGCAGATATCAAAGCAATCCTAGAATTGATCACTGGAAGGCTACAAAGAAAGTTCTTCGGTACTTGCAAGGAACAAAGGATTATATGCTCTTGTATTAGAGATCTAATCTATTAGAGGTGATTGGATATTCAGATTCAGATTATGCTGGATGTCTTGACAGTAGAAAGTCCACTTTTTGTTATTTATTCTTACTTGGTGAAGGTGCCATATCTTGGAAAGGTGCCAAACAATCTGTCATTGCATCATCTACAATGGAAGCTGAATTTGTGGCGTGTTATGAAGCCACAATTCATGCATTATGGCTGTGAAATTTTATTTCAGGACTTGGGGTAGTCGACACCATTACCAAGCCGCTGAAAATTTACTATGATAATTCAGCAACAGTATTTTTCTCCAAGAACGACAAATATTCTAAAGGTGCCAAACACATGGAAATCAAATATTTTGTCGTTAAGGAGGAAGTTTAGAAACAAAGAGTGTTTATAGAGCACATTAGTACTAATCTTATGACAGCAGACACACTAACTAAAGGTCTACAACCTAAGACATTTATAGAACATGTTCAGCGAATGGGTCTTTGTTATATTGATAATTGATACTATGTGATAGTGCGACACTTTGAGCTCTAATTAATTTATTTCTGATATACAAAACTTTAAGTGCATTTCTTGTTACTAATGATTTATGATTGTGTACACATATTTATTTGTTTTATTTATAACAAGAAAATTTTATTAGACATCATCAAGACAGGATGCAATTTGTATGTTATTAAAGAATCTATTATATTGAGTTGTTAGTGTTGTAGTATATGAAAGGGAGTATGTGACATAAAATAATATACAACCTCCATAACTCACAGTTATAATTCTATATAGCAGGTTATTATGATGGATAAACACATACCATAGGCGCTTAATGTTTGTATTATCGCTATCGGGCCAAGTGGGAGAATATAAGATTTTGCCATGACTTTCGAACCTAGTCAAGGCTAAAATCATATGGCCCAATTTAAAGATAAATTGATTAGTAAATTAATTTATTAATAAAGACAATATTATGTTAAAATCTTGACCATTAGTTCGGTTACTTGATGGACGTATCGAATCTAAAGTTGAGTTAATATAAATTGGTCCTCCTTCTGCCTATTAGGTTTACACAAAAAACAAGCCGTCAAAAGAATAGGAAATAAAGATAATGAATAGAAAATAGAAAATTTATTTTGACGTACTTTCCATCATTTAATTCTGCGTATAGAAACAAGGTCAAGAGGGAGAAATCAATTTATTGGGTACATTTATTTTCTACTCTTCAATGGCCGATTTCAATTCCGCATCAGGTTAGTTATTTTATTACTGTAAAATCATGTTAGTCTAAAGATCCCACACAATATCTTATGCAATTTAATTGCTGACATTTTTCCATAATAGATAGAAGTACGGTTTACATGTGAATATTTCTTTCTTTTAATTCATATAATTTTATCTCTATATCATAACCTACTCCATCAATTCATGTAACACATATTTAGACATTAAAATAAAAAAAATCTCATTCAAGCAAAGTCAAAGAAGAGATTGATAATTTAAGGAAAAGAGGGATTTTATATACCAACCTTAAAAACTTCAATCGAACTATCAAAGTCTCCAATCAATCCACCTCATCGCCTTCTCTCTCTTTGAAGCATCACCTTGTTCTTCCATGTGAAAACCAAGTAAAACTCAATAAGAATGCAAGAATAACCCATAAGATGAATGAAATGCATGACACAATTCTCTCCAAAAACATTCTCTACATACCTTGAATTCAAATTCCATAGCTATCAATCAGTCTCCATTATCCAAAACTTGAAACTCTAAGATTATGGCCAACTTCTCTTTCTTAATCCATGAGAAATGTATTGAGATGTCAAAATTTAGTTCTTCAACGAGTTTGATAGAGAATCAAGCAAAGAATAAGAAAATGCTGTAGAAAGAAAATATGCGTGGGTGGCTAGTGTTGTGAGATTAGAATGCGGTTTGCACAATTTTCTAGGGTCTTATAAAGTTCCCTTAGAATTGAATGCTTAGGATTAAAAGTGAACTTTTATCCAAGGGCCATAATTCCATCACTTAATATTTCCTTCATTACATGTAAAAAAAGAATTACCGTAAAATTTTTTTATCGTTATTTCCTTAATTTTTGTCAGTAATTTAGTATTACCAAAAAAATACTGATAATTTTTTGTTGGTAAAATTTTGTTGCTAAAAAAATAGCAACAAAAAAATTTTTGTCAGTAAATTAGCAACGCGATTTTCTTGGTAAATTTATTTTTTTATCACTAACGTCATTTTAAAAATTATATAAATTTTATTGGTAAAATTATTTGTCGCTATTTTATTGAAATTTTATCATTAATTTTTTACTATTTATCGTTGAAATAATCATGAAAATTGAAGGATATAATTTTTTTATGAGTAATTTGTCGTTAATTTTAATATATATATATATATGAAAGCTGAAACAAAGAGAAAGTTAAAGAAAAAGTTTCAACGTGTTCTCTTTGTTCAGTTTTCTATTTTTCTTTTTTTTTGAAAAATTTAAGTTTTTTCTTTATTTTTCTATATTTCGATTGGTCAATTTTTTTAATTTTATATTTAATATATAATAGTGATAATTGATCATTTTTAAAACCTAATCTAATCTAATCATCTACCTAATCTAAGAACTTCAAAATCTATCTAGCTAGACTTATTGCAGGTTTTAATTTTCCTTTTTTTTTGAAAATTGTAAAGTTTTTTCGTTTATTTTTCTATATTTCGATGTCTTTTTCTTTATTTTTCTATATTTCGATTGGTCAATTTTTTTAATTTTATATTTAATATATAATAGTGATAATTGATCATTTTTAAAACCTAATCTAATCTAATCATCTACCTAATCTAAGAACTTCAAAATCTATCTAGCTAGACTTATTTACTATATATAACTCTCTACCTCTACCTCCTTTCAACGTAATTCACAAGTTTGTTATTTGGAATAGCTCTTCTTCTTCTCATGTTTTGTATGAGTATTCATAGCCTAAATTTGAGATTTTTATAATTTTTGTTTAGTTTTTGGATATCTATAACCAAGTTGATTAGTTTTTCACTTATATATTTTCTTTTGTTACGAGGATAAAGAGCAAGGCTCTCGAAAACTAAATACAGTTTCTAGGGTGGAAAATCCCACTTACATCATGCAGTAGCCATAGATAAAGACCTTTGGGGAACCTCTAGCACATGAGTCCCTAAGGGAAAAGAACACACCACATCCGCTAGGAAGTCTGCAGCATAATTTGCTTCCTGATATACATGACTAATCCGAAATTTGATTTACATTTTTTTGCTTTGTAAAAATATTGCGATATTGGTATTCTTGTGCTTACTTTTTGCACTGGAATTTTCTTTTATTATGTTGGTATTTGGAAATATTTTTCTGACTATGGTGGTTTGGTAAATGCAGGATCACAATTTAAAGCTGAAGAAGTTTTTGCACCTAATTGCGAATTCACTAGTGTTCCCTGTCATATGTGACAGTAACAGGTACGTATGAACTCCGTTTCTTCGAGAAATCTTTGTAATTATGAAATTTCTAAAATTTCCTATCTAATTCAGTGTTCTTTGTGACTGATATTCTTCTCTAAATATCATGTCTTATTCAGAATTTGATTTAGAGTTCTGTCTTATTCAGAATTTGATTTAGAGTTCTATGCTTTTCTGTTTGCTTTAAAGATGCTTGATTTCATTTTCTATTCCTTGGATTTTTTTGCTCGGACAAAGGGGTTGATGGTTGCATATGCTCTTCTTTTCTCTGGAGACAAAAAAAAAAAACAGATATTCCTTTGTTTACTGTTTCTCTTAATAAGATGCATAATGGTGCATGAAAAATGTATTATTATGTTCTCTATTCATATTACATTCATGAATATGTAATGTTTTATTGATGCACACGGACCACAACAATTAAATTTCTAGTTAAACAAGCTCTGTATTTTTTAAATAATTTAAGTTTTTTTGCAAAACTATTTTGTCTCTATCCCCAATTATTAACAGAGCACATTCATCTATCACTTTGAATACGAAGAATGTTTTCATTGAATCTACAACCACTGATCTAACAAAGGCTAAGATTTTTTTTTTTTTTTTTGAAAAAAAAGGCTAAGATTGTTATAACAGAATGTACAATAAATAAGAGTGTGTAAAAACATATTTTGATATTTGAATACTCAAAAGTTTTTAAATCTCAAATAATTTAATTTTTGAACACTTAAATAAATAAGGATATTAACCATAAATCATAGTGAAACATACACAGCAGACAAAATGAAAAGAAAGCAAAAGAAAGAGACTAGCCCACTAAGTAACTAATTGCTTAACTGGCAATAGATTAGCTGTAACTTATTTAGTTTGTTATAGGTAGTTACAACTTCCTCCTTTGTTATTGCTTTTCCGTTATCTTCTTATTCTTGTATTGTTTTCGTGCTGCCCCCGAGCGACCCGAAAAATGTTCCCTTTTTTGTTTTGATGGAAAATGATCTTACTTTGAACAGTGGTGACAAAACATTTTATTGAATACGATGCCGATAAATCGGTCTTATAAAACATTTGAGTCGGCCACCCATTATTTTCGGCATGGGACATTTTCCAATTTTTACATAAGATGACTTCCAATTTTAAAACCAACTTTAAAGGCCATTAATCTAGAAAAACGGTCAGCGCACCAATGCAGTTTCTGGTAACGGGAATTGGGGGTAATGCTGGCCCGTTGGGAAGCCGACGCCGGTGAAAAAATCGCCTCTTTTAACTCCTTACCGATTTCTAATTTATTTTAGTAGAATAAAGCAAATTTAAATTTATTTTATTTATTTAAACCAACCCAAATGAATCGGACCGAGTTCCTATATGGAAATTATTTTAATCACCCCAATTCAAATCTAATTATCGCATTTAAAATTATTCAACCATCCAAACCAAAACAATTAAACCAAATAATAAAAGACCCGCTCTGCCCTTATGGGTTCAAGGCGGGCCTACAAACTGCGAACTAAAAAATACATTCTACCGACTTCAATTTAAACCCAAAAACCAAAAACCCAAAAATTCATGCATAATGACATTTAGATATTTTTAAACTTAAATTAAATGTGCAATCTGTTCATAATTGGGTCCATTTTCAGATGTATTGGAAGAAATTAACTCTGGAAGCTTAGAACAGTTTTGTGTCAACACAGCTAATTGGTCACCCAGCTGCTCTTGGATGAACATCGCGTGACCGCATGCAGTTCCTGGGAATGAACAGTGCCGGTGAACGCAGCTGTTCTCGATGAAAACATCGCGTGACGCAAGCGTTCCTGGATGAACAGTTGCGTGACGCACGTTCTTGTAATGAACAGTTGCCGTGACACAGTGGTTCTGGGGCCCAAGTTCGTTTTCAACGCTTTTTAGATCATTTTTTATTTAATGTGATTTAGGGACATATATAAATGGCCAAAATAATGAACAGAGATACAATTTAAAAGAAGCTCTAAAATTACTAAAACCACAAAGTATGTAAAAAACACAAAAAAGGTTAAAAGAAATTACCTAACCTCCAATGGAGGATTTGTGAATGGTTATTGTCTTTTACAATGATAGTTTAAGATCTCCAATAAGCTTTTGTTTCCAAGGAATTCAAGTTTTCTCTTTTTTTGTCTTTTGATGTTTTTTTCTCTCTTTTTCTGATTTAATTTCAACTAAGAATTGATATCAATGGCTATTTTCTTCAAACGGAACTCAAAAGACTTGAGACAATATGGCCGCACAATATTTTTAGGTTTCCAAAAATCGTCCCAACAGTTCAAAGTTAGAAAAAGATTATCTTATAGAAGTAGGTCACAGGATCATAGCCCGCGTGATGCAGCTATAAGTTGCGTGAACGCAGCTTACTGCCTGCACCAGAGCTACATTGTCGTTTAAAACAACGTCATGATTCTAACATAAGCTGCGCGCAGCTATGACCCAGTCAAAGACTTAACATCTTTTTTTAATTTAAATCCTTGGATTAAAAGACTTCTAGATAGCATTAACCCATTCATTCCACGTCCTCATATCATCATTGGATCAGGCGGGGGCCTAAAGACACGCGTCAACATGTGTATAGTCAAAACTCACATATTAATAAATACTAGATTTCATTTTCCTTCAATCAAATCTAATTTCATGGTATCAGAGTAATTGCTTTTCCTGTGTTCATTTTTTTTCTAGAAGCTTCTTCATTTGCTTCTTCTTATTAACTCATACTTGAATAGTTATAGAAATTTTCCTTTAATCTGCGATGGCGGATCATCTTCAAAATCCTTCCAATCCTTTCTTCCTACACCCAAACGAGAATCTTGCATTGATTCTTGTATCACCTCTTCTTGATGGATCAAATTAACATTCTTGTGCCAGGGCAATGAAAATGGCGCTGGCTTCCAAAAACAAAATCTCTTTTATAGATGGTTCAATCATAGTTCTACAAAAACAGACTCGATGCACTTAACTTGGGAGAGATGTAACACTATGGTGTTATCTTGGATTACTAAATCACTTTCACCTTCAATTGCTCAGAGTGTTTTATGGATAGACATCGCTGCTGATGTTTGGAGTGATTTGTGAGATCATTTTTCTCAAGGCGACATTATATGAATTTCAGACTTGCAAGAAGAAATCTATTGCAAGAAAGAAATCTATAGCCTTCCAGCAAGGTGAATCTTTCAAGTTATCTGAATATGTTTACACAGTTAAAAGATCTTGTGGGATGGGACTGTTAAATTTTAGGCCACACTTTTTGTTCATGTGAAATAACCTTGCAATTGTGGTGCAATTTTCGACTTTTTAAGAGCTATATGCAAGCAAGATTATGTAAGTCAGGTTTTTTGAAGGGCTCAGTGAGAAATTTTTCATCATGTCAAAACTACAGATCATGTTAATTGACCCTTACCTTTCAACATTACA